TTGGTTGGGTCGCTCTGGGAAAATCCAAAATTTCTAATAAAATTCGTAAAAAAGACGCTTTTTTGGCGACTTATTGTTCCTCCACTTTGGAGTCTTTGGATGAAAATATCAAGAGTAGCACTTTCTCCCAAAACTGAAATCTGTGAAAATTTGTATAAGGAAACTCACGTTAGAAATGCATCTTCCAGGTATGTGGTTGCTTTGCCTTTCCGAGTAGAAAATCCGATTTTTGGTGAGTCAAAAAATTTGGCTTTGCGCAGACTTTATTCGTTGGAGAGTAAATTGTATAAAAACCCTGGTTTGTTGGATTTGTATAGAGGTTTTATGCGAGAATATCTAGATGCTGCTTATATGTCACCTGTTAGTCCAGACAGAGCTGGGCAGGGCTTGAGTGCTTTGTGCTTGCGAAAGTGCTTGAAGCACTTTGAGGACTTGAAAGCCCTGTGCTTCAAGCCCTTTTATAGATTTGTAATTGGGGCTTGCAAAGTCAATTACTTTAGAAAAGTGCTTGGTAATTTGTAATTTAAAAAAGTAATTCAAGCCCTTTCAATGAGCTTCAATTACTTTTAGAGGGCTTGAAGCACTTTTGGGAGCTTGAAGCCCTTTGAAAGGGCTTGAAGCACTTTAAGAGGGCTTGAAGCACTTTTGGGAGCTTGAAGCACTTTGAAAGGGCTTGAAGCACTTTAAAAGGGCTTGAAGCACTTTAAAAGGGCTTGAAGCACTTTAAAAGGGCTTGAAGCACTTTAAAAGGGCTTGAAGCACTTTGAAAGGAATTTGAATTGACCATCATTCAACCTATCCCCCACTTAAACATTTTCGATCGTGTTTTGTCCCTTAATTTTTTTTTCTATTATTTGAACTTGAACCGTCTTATGTCTTTTCTCTCTTAACAATGAAGGTTTTGAGCTTAGAATGGAATTAAAAAAAAAAAATGAATGAACTTATTATTCAAATAAATAAATAATTTATAGGTACCCTATTTAACTTTATCACTGGATTTTTTTCACTTTTCCCCATTGAACATTTTGAAAACCTTAAAATTGAATTACCATGTAGTACCCCAACTACCCCAAGTACCCCAGAACTACATCTCAAAAAAAAACATACTACTGCTACGTTGTGGAATGTGAAGTTCGTCTTTACTATACCAATTCTGTGTGATGAGTGTACGCGGTAACTTATGCCACTTTGAGAATTTTATTACAAATTCAAAGTGCTTTAGGCACATTTAAAGAGCTTCAAGCACATTTAAAGAGCTTGAAGCACATTTAAAGAGCTTGAAGCGCAGTTAAAGAGCTTGAAGCCCTTTTCAAGGCACCCCAAGCTCTTTTGATGTGCTTCAAGCACTTTTCAAATCACTTTGAGGGCTTTGTGCTTGTCAAGTCCAAAGCACTTTGAGGGCTTTGTGCTTGTGAAGCACTTTTGAAAATAAAAAGGAATTTGTGCTTGAAATTGAAGCACTTTGATAGAGGGCTTAGGGCTTAGTGCTTCAAGCCCTTTTACTGAGGGCTTTGCCCAGCTCTGAGTCCAGATGATGAGTCTGGTCAATATAATATTACATACCTCATCATTGCGTCATACGAGAGGAGTCTATATCAACTAAGCTGCGGGTAGTGTTCGATTCGTCCATAAAATTTTCCAACGGGGTCTCGTTAAACTCTACGTTTTACGCTGGTCCAAAGCTTCACTCAGATATTTCTGCTGTCTTGTTAAATTTTCGTTTGCATAAGTATGTTTTGATACTTGGCTAATAGAACTATTAGGCAATTGGTTATGGACGAGAGGGCGTCGTATCCAATCGCATCTGATATTTTGTTGTCAGATATTTATGTGGACGATGTTTTGACAGGGTTTTCAAACTTAGAAACAGGTAGGAAAATCAAATTCGAGCTAACAGAGCTATTAAAGAAAAGTGGTTTCGAGTTGAGAAAATGGGCGAGCAATTGTGCGGAAGTTTTGTCCGACACACCTCTTGAACATCAACAGCCAATTTCTTTTGATACTGAAGAACCTGCTTGCCTTAAAGTCCTTGGGTTGCAATGGCAACCTGCATTTGATAGTTTTACCTTTAAAATTGGTGACTTTTCGAATGATGAGTGTACCTACTAAGAGATCCATTTTATCAAATTTGGCTAGGATATTTGACCCTTTGGGTATGACTGCACCTCTAACTCTATTCGCTAAATGCTTAATTCAGGAATTATGGAGTTTAGGTCTCGATTGGAATCAAAAATCCCCTCCAGAAGTTACCGAAAAGTGGAAAAGATTTCAGCGTGAGTTGAGTGCGCTGTCTCTACTGAAAATTCCTAGACATATGCCTGTATCTGAAGTCGAGTGTTAATTGCATGGGTTTTGTGATGCGATGCAAGCCACACTGATAAAAATGGATTTATTTTTGAGGTATTTGGAACGAAATATTGCAGTCGCGCGCATGTAATAATCCAGACGCATAAAGTTACAGTCCTCATCATTCTAATTTTTATCAGTTTTGCCGCAAAATTACTGCTGAAACTGAAATATTACATAATAACTTGAAATTTAAATTTTTTCGTATATTTCATACCACTTTATGTGTAATTTTTAGCTCACATTGAAAATTAAACCAAAGAATGTAAGTTTCAATAGTAATTATCCAGACACATTCATGTACATAATAACTTTACAGTAATGTTTCTGTATTATTCAAATCAAAAATTAAAATTAATTCTCGTCTGTAAAAATACATGGAATATTGAAAAATCCGTAAACGTCGCTGAAAAATCAATAAACAGTCGGTAAAATTCCAAGGCTGGCCCTGTATTTCAGGAGGAATACGAGAATGCCGGTGTTGGCGGTACAGTGAGACGAGACACCCTTAGCAAAGTGATAGTCTGGGAGTTAACGACATATTTCATTGTACCATTTCCGCAAGCTTCATTCTTTTTGTATGTGTTATGCGTGTAGTATATGATAGTAATATGATCGTCTGCCGGCGCACCAACACAGGGGGTTACAGGAGGGTTACACTTACAGCAAAAAATGAACGAAAAAACCTTATAGCCGCATAAGCGAAACTTATTGTACATATTGGTAGAAACTTAGAAAGCTCAGAAAATATGGTCTGCCACCTAAATTCCACGACAAAAGTCGTCTGCCACCCACATAAGTGAAAAATTAAAAAAAAAAAATATACCTGCAAGGCTGAAATTAATTATTTTCAGAGTGAGTTTGACAAGTGTCAAAAAGAGAAAATAAGTATTCCAAGTGAAAATTTTCATTTCCATTCTGAATGTATCCTTCTATAATCTCTCTAAGAACTCTAGAACATTAGACTTGAGCTTTTCACAATTCATTTTGGTTAGCCTTACAAAAAAATAAAAAAATAAACAGGAATAAGAAAAAAATGCAGCGTCCTAGCGATGGTGCTCGGGCACTGCATGCCGAACCCAACTTCATAGGCTTGGCAGACGATCTTCGTTGTATCTTATTCGTGGCAGACTATTATGTTTGTCTTTGTTTCCATAAAAAGAAGTATTTTAATTAATTTCAGCCTTACGAGTATATTTTTTGTTTTAAATTTTTACTTATGTGGGTGGCAGACGACTTTTGTTGTGGAATTTAGGTGGCAGACCATATTTTCTGAGTTTTCTATGTTTCTACCAATATGTACAATAAGTTTCGCTTATGCGGCTTTAAGTTTTTTTTTGCTCATTTTTTGCTGTAATTGTAACCCTCCTGTAACCCCCTGTCGTGTTGGTGCGCCGGCAGACGTTCATATTACTATCATATACTACACGCATAACACATACAAAAAGAATGAAGCTTGCGAAAATGGTACAATGAAATATGTCGTTAACTCCCGGACTATGATTAGACACCAACTGCGACGCCATTGTCTAACCACGCCGCCACCGGGTACTTCGCATAGAAAATTAGTTTCAGGTTTTTATTTATTTGTTGCTTGTTTTTGTGCAGCGTGCAGCAGAAATTTCCAAGGCAAGTATACCTTTTTAAGAACTACAATTTTAGAAAAATAATTTTGGTTATTTAGGTTTTTTTAAGTTTTTTGGGTTTTTTTTATGTTTTTTTAGTATGAAACACTCTGGCAATGTAGGTAGCTATGCATATGTAAATAAATTCAGGTTATGATATCTAGCTATAACAGAAAAAAAAACAATAAAAAGTCCTAATTCTTTTAATAGAAACAAAATGGAAGTCTACTTTGTAGCAGAGATTTAATAGTATTTTACATTATTAGCCAGGTAAAACAGTTTTTACTGGCGATTGAAGGAAATGACCCTTCAAGAGCCAGTAAAAACTGCTACCTGGCGTATAATGTACAATAATTTATTTGTTACTCATTTGTAAAAGATATAGGGACAAATAAAAAATCAATACATAACAAAAATTTTAAATTTATATGTTTTTCCTTGATTTTTTCTCACAGAAGTTTTGGTAGTTGGTATAACTATGAGAATGATACGTTGTTAAGACGTTGTTTCTAGTTATAAATAGGTTTTTTGACAGATTTCCATTTTGCAATTTTTTTCCAGAAATGAATTTATTACAAGATATTATTAATGAAGCCTCAGTCGTAGCCAACAGTTTATCACCAGAAAAGTCTCCCAGAAGGTACCTACAAGCAATAATTATTCTTGTGATAAAACCGATTTTTCAAAAATAAATGATTCTACTGACTTGTAAAAAGTTTTTACAGTTTAGCTGTCAATTTTACAAGTCAGTAGAGCCAGTATCTTGTAAAAATCAATTTTCGCTGGTTATGTTTTGACTTGATAATTGACGTTTTACAAATGAGTGACAAATAAAATTACTATTCTGATATTATAAACAGATTTTTCAAACAAATAACCTAAGTTCCAAAAAACCTGTACCTACTTGCCAACCCTGTTAAAAATTATAATAGAATATTATCAAAAAACACGAAACGAACATTATCTTGTACATAATGGGGAACTTTGACTGTCACTTTTGCAATTTTAAATGTGCAAGTTTTCGACAATATGATAAACATTTATACTTACATAGGAATAACAGTGTTTTTTTATGTATACGAAACAATTGTGAATTACGCTTTAAGACCTACAATAGTTACAGGTTACATGTAAGCAGACATCACTTTGTTTCTTCCAAGACTTCTTTAACAACAAACCTAATATTGAGATGTAAAGTTAATAGCTGTGACTATTGTTCCATCAGACAACAAGATATGATGATACATTGCAAATTGCATTTAAAATCGGAAAACATTCATATCAGATGCCCCTATCCAAATTGTACCTTGAAATATGAAAATTTTAATAGTCTAAAAAGTCATTATACACGTAAACACTGTTTTTCACAAGCTACTTTCAATCACCACCTAACTGATGACAATGTGAACAATCATTTAGGTGATATAAATACTTGCAATGATGAACCTGTAGTGAATGACGTTGTATCAGCTAGCGTTGGGGATGAAATAAATGAAATTGTAAATATTAAAGATCTAACTGAAAAAGCAGTGTCATCCCTATACCTTAATTTGCAAGCAAAGCACTTTCTTACTGATAAGGCACTACAAACTTTAATCAGCAGTTTTTTAGATTTAAGCAATATTCATTCAAATTTTATTGTTAAAAAGCTCGAAAGCTCTGGAGTTGCGTCAGCTGTGGTTGATGATGTGAAAAAGGCATTCTTGTTTGATAATCTCCATAATAGAGAGAATGGAATGTTGAGAACGAAATATTGTAGAAATAATTATTATAAGAAAAATTTCGATTATGTTGAACCTAAGAAAGTTTCAGTTGGATTTATAGGATCAAAAGAGCACTTTTTTTATTATGTGCCAATTATAGAAACATTAAAATGCATGTTAAAAAATAGTAATGTGTTCGCTAGATGTGTTGCAAGTGAAGCTGTGAATCACCAAAACGATAATTGTTTTTCTGATATAACTGATGGAAGCTGTTTTAAGACGTCGACATTTTTTAATGCACCTAATAGGCTTAGACTCATTCTCTACCAGGATGCTTTCGAACCCTGCAATCCATTAGGTTCTGCAAAAACTAAATACAAAATTGTAGGAATTTATATGCTACTTGCAAATTTGCATCCTTGGCATAGGTCTCAGGTTGAACACATTCAGTTAGTGTCTTTGTCTCATGAAAAAGACATTAAATTATTTTCATTTTCCAAAATCCTAGAACCTCTTATAGATGAATTAAAACTTCTCGAAACTGCTGGTTTTGAATTTCAAGGAATTCATTTTAGAGGTTTTCTAATTGCTGTTGTAGGTGATAATCTTGGTAGCCATCAAATAGGAGGTTTTGTCGAAAGCTTTAGCACTGAAACACGCTTTTGTCGCTACTGTGATATATCTAAATTTCCTGACAGAAAAAACAATAATTGTTTATTTGGAAAGCTAAGAACTAAAGAAAACTATGAATGTGATGCAAACATGGCAAGCTTTAATGGCATCAGTAATGGAGTCAAAACAAATTCAGTTTTAAACGAACTCCAATATTTTCATGTATGCTTACCAGGATTGCCACCATGCTTAGCTCATGATTTACTGGAGGGTGTAGTAGCAATCGATACTATGGTATATTTAAACTATTTAGTTAAACAAAAAAAAATTACCTATAGTGAAATAAACAAAGAATTAGACGACTTGAATTTTGAATTCAAACCAAGGCAAAGCTTTCCTCCGATCAAGAAGTCGGACAAGTTAGGTGGAAATGCTTCACAAAATCTTTATGTTCTGAATTGTTTGCCATTTGCTATGTATACTAAAGCTAACATTTCAAGATTTGAAAAGGCCTGGGTCTTACTTCATAAAATGAGAACAATAGTTAATATAGTTTTGTCTTTTAATCTGACTGTAGAACACATAGCTTTTTTAAAGTCACTAATTTTTGAATATATTTCTGAAAGATCTGTGTCTTTTCCCGATGATAAATTGAAGCCTAAGCATCACTTTTTATGTCACTATCCATATTTAATCAAATGTTTCGGACCCTTGCGGCACTTGTGGACACTTAGATTCGAGTCTAAACATAGGTATTTCAAAAATATTATAAAACATTCACAAAATTTCATAAATATTTTAAAGACAATGGCAGAAAAACATCAATATATGCAAGCGCTAAACTATGGTTCAAACACAGATTTGCTATACAGCAATTCAGCTTATTGTGATAAAGATGTTGAGGTTTATAATGAAAAAGATTATCCTCAGTATTTAGTGGAACACCTAAGAGAAAAGTATAAAACAAACCAGCATAAATATATTGTAGAATCCACCATATACAGAGGTATATCTTATAAGGTTGGAATGCATTTGTGTTTGGTGAATTTTTGTTATTAAAAATTAAGTATATTTTTTTAAATGAAAATTTGCAGGATTTAATATTTGTTGGAAATAAAATAACTATTAGTTATGACAGTGAACTTGGATTATATATAGAACAAAACTTTGGCAATCGACATGAAAATACTCTGTTGGTTTCATTTTCTTTTGAAAATCTAAACCTTATTGAACCGATTTTAAGAACCCAGAAAAATAACGAAAATTTATATTATTTTCCTTCTTGTCCATTTGATTTTTAATTTGTTTGTAAGCAATTTCAATTTATTGCTATAATTTTTTTAATATCTTTATTTTCTTTTTTAATATTTTAAATTAATTTCAATTGGAACACCTTATATTTTATTACAATTTTGAATAGCCGTTAAGGCTTATTTAACAATGTACCATTGGGATAAAAAAAAATAGTTAAAAAATTACTAACCCCGATTTGAGCTCCCAGTGTACAGGGTCATTTTTTATATTTTCCCACGCCCCTTAACTTTTTTGTGCCACTGTGTATAAAAAAAAATTAAATAGGAAAGTTGAAGTACTTGAAAAATAGTTCTCAGAAAACATAGTTTTGTTCATACAGGGTGTTGCAAAAATTTTGAAAAACAAAAAATATATGTTTTTAAATGGGACACCCTGTATATTATGACATTTCTAGAATCTGCGGAAAATTCTTGACATATTTCATGTATAATGTCATATACCTATCTTAAACTGTTTCGGAAATAATGACAGTAGAAAATTGACTTTTTCGCACTTTTGATTGGCTGTAAAACCTAAACTGTTAATTTTACAGCAACACCGATTTTACATTCTTGTCGACAGCTTTTCACAAGCAAGCATTTGACACCAACTTTGAATTTAACCGGAAATTAAATTTAATTGGAATTTTCAATCATGGATTAAACTCAAAGTTGGTGTCAAATGATATTTTATAAAAAAATAGAAAAAGCATGTATGATCGGTTTTGCTGTAAAATCAATTAGTTAGGTTTTACAGTCTGTCAAAGATGCAAAAAAGTCAATTTTCTAGTGTCATTATTTCTGAAACAAGTGAAGTTAGGTATATGACATTATACATGAGCTATGTCTAGAATTTTCCGCAGAATCCAGAAATGTCATGATATACAGGGTGTCCCATGTTTTTTAAACTTTTTGCAACACCTTGTATGAACAAAACTATGTTTTCTGAGAACTATTTTTCAAGCATTACAACTTTCCTATTTAAATTTTTTTTATACACAGTGGCACAAAAGAGTTAAGGGGGGTGGGAAAATAAATAAAATGACCCTGACCATACAAAATTTTGACAGTAAATAAACTTTCAACTAATTATTGTGAATTTTTCTGAAATACTTTCAACCAAAATATCATTTGTGTGGTTTTAAATTTTGCTTACTTACTAATATGGAAGGAAAAGCTTGCGAAAAGATCAGCTAAGTCATGTGAAAAGATATAGGGTGTCCCATTTGAAAGGAATACATATTTGGTTGATATCTGAAAAATTGTATTTTCATATTTTCCGATCAATTTTAAAAAAAAAAATTTTTTGTAAACTCACAAAACATAACGTAAATTAACGTCTAATACGCCATCCACCGTGGGACACCCTGTATTATTTTATATTATGTGCTATTTTGTACCATCATTATAAAATCTTTGCGTATTGGAACATTTTTTTTGATAAATAAGATGGACAAAAGCACTCGTAGGAAAAATATTGTACCTAACTCTTGCGGAAAATGTCTTTTCCACCCTCGACGTCTCGGAAAAGTACCACTTTCCGCACTTGTTAGGTAAATAACTATTTTTATCAATCGTGTTTATTTTTCAACTTAGAAATGCAAATTTAGAGCTATATTTTTTGCTAGGTAGACACCACCCTTGATACATCATCTAAAAAATCATATTTGAATCCCCCAGTATTTTTTAAAACATTTTTACCTCGATTTAACTATGTGTTTCTTTTCAGATATAACCCTGCAGGGGACCCCAATGATCCACACTATGGCATGGATTCTACCGACTCCTACAATAGAAATAGGGACCAATATGGTCAAGATGCCTACAATAAGGACAGAGATAGAAGCAATCAGGTATGAACTTCATATTGTTAATAGCTGATGATCAGATTATTGCAGAACATTTCTATTGTATTTTGACTGGATTCCTGGCTTAAGCACTAATTCGATTAACTCTGATCTGATGTTCTTATTTAGTTTGGTCCTGATCCCTATGACAACAACCAAAATGGTGCCTACGATTACACTCCCTATAGAAACCCATTAGTTTATGGCGGTGAAAAGATCGAGCATGCTGCCATCATCAAAGAAGCCATTTACTTTGTGGTAGCCTCAAAAATGGTCAGACCAGGTCAATTATACAGAGTCTCTGTAACAGTTTTGAAAGAAAAACAACCTCTCATAGTTAGAGCGTCGATATCGCGCAATGGCGTTGAAATGTCAACGGATCATAAGGACGTTAAAGAGGGTATTCCTGAAACACTTTTGATGCAAGTGCCTACTACTAGTGCCTCTGGAGAATACAAACTTCGTGTAGAAGGATTGTATGAAGATATTTTAGAGGGCGTAGCGTTTTCTAACGAGACAAAATTGACGTTTTCTCAAAGATCCATGACGATTTTTATACAGTTGGACAAGCCTGTGTATAATATGCAAGGAGAAACGGTTCGTTTTAGAACTATCCCTATTAACACTGAACTGAAAGCTTTCAATGATGCCATAGATGTTTATATGTTGGATCCTAATGGCCGAATTTTGAAAAGGTGGCTCTCGCGACAGTCGAATCTCGGCACTGTTAGCTTGGATTACCAGCTCTCCGATCAACCAGCTTTTGGAGAATGGAAAATCAGAGCAATCGCTCAAGAATCAAGAAGCGAAGAATCCACTTTCATGATTGAAGAATATTACCAAACTAGATTTGAAGTGAACGTTACCATGCCAGCATTTTTCCTAAACACTGAACTTTTTATTACTGGTATAGTAATGGCGAATTACACTAGTGGCGCTCCAGTACGTGGAAACTTAACTCTCAAAGCTTCGGTTAGACATATTAAGCCTATTGATGTTAATAGAATGCTGAAAAAGAACAGACCGAGACCTATTGAGAGCAATTTGTACAATCCGTATGGGCCAAATGATTTTTGGAAACAAGACGATTATCATAGGAGGTTTGGTGAAGATCCTTATAATAGGTAAGTTTAATTGAACTTTTAGTTTAGTTTTTGACCTACCTATGTTATGATAGGATTACAACTTCAAATTCCCTATTGGAGATTTGCTGGAATTCACGCCCAATTTGGATGGGATGGAAATTGTAATCACTGCCACAGTTGGCGATAGATATTTGGACGAAGTCATTGAAGGTTATTCCATTGCAAGAATATTCAATTCATCGGTAAGATCTTCGGATTTTCAATAGTTTATGATTATTTTTGAATACCTACTAATGAGTATTTATTGTAGTTTTCATGCTAGAATTTACCCAAAGTGTGTGATCTTTGAATCTTGAAAACCATTAAAACTTAATTTAAATGCCCCTCACCTTTTACTTTTACTATATTCTATAGTTACTCTAGTCCATATTGTATCTTCTTAAATTTTTCAGGTCAAATTAAAATTCTTGGGCGAATCTCCTCAAGTCTTCAAGCCTGGCATGCCCTTAACTACTTACCTAGTAGCCTCATTCTATCATGGTTCCCCTCTCTCCGAAGAAAGCCTGGCAAATAGTTTTATGGAGGTAACAGCTTTTGTGGAAAAGCGTGGCGGTGGTAGAATGGACTTACCTCCCAAAAAACTATGGATGATGAGCGAACAGCCCGGTATTTGGGAGTATAAGATGGACTTGAAAAGAGAGTTGGGCATTTTCGGCCCAAGGGCCTTTGAAGAATTAAGCCAACTGAGTACCTTGAGAATACAGGCTACTTTTAGGGATGAGTATATGAATCAACATGCTACAACTGAGTTGCTACTATTAGCTCATTATAGTACCAACGATCAGCATATTAAAGTGACCACTAGCACTTTAGCACCGAGAGTAGGGGAATTTATGATTTTCCATATCAGATCCAACTACTACATTGACAAATTCAACTATATTATCATAGCCAAAGGCATAGTACTAGTGACAGGCGATCAAGACATGAACGATTTTGTTAGTACCATGTCTATAGCTCTTAGTGCCGAAATGGCTCCAGTAACCACCATAGTTGTATGGCATTTGGGACGTTACAGAGACTTGGCAGTGGACAGTTTAACTTTTCCAGTGAACGGTATTACTCGGAATAAGTTCAAAGTTATGATTAATAATAAAAAAGCAAGGACTGGGCATAAAGTGGAAGTAGTGATTTAGGGAGAACCTGGATCTTATGTGGGTCTGTCTGGAATCGACCGGTCGTTCTACACAATGCAGGCTGGTAACGAATTGACTTATGCCAAAGTTATTACTAAAATGATGACGTTCGATGAACATATTAATGGTACTTTAAAACACGATTGGATGTCACACGAAGGTAAATTGAATGTGATTCTGAAAATGACACTAAATAAACTCTTGTTGAAGCTTTATATGATTTGTTTAATTAAATATGTTTTCAGGTTATCCAGATGAATTAATATATTTCCCATCTAGTACTTATGGAATAGACGCCAATCGTACTTTTGAGTATGCTGGATTGGTTGTTTTTAGTGATTTTGAACTAACTAGGCGACCCAACTATTGCAATATGTCTCAAGGTAATTAATTGTTTCTTATACAAAACATCTTGGAGAATATAGGTATATATGATAACTTTTGTATTATAGGTCTTGGTGAATGCCTCAATGGTAGATGTTACAGATTGAGTAAAAGATGCGACTATTATAGAGACTGTGAAGACGGCACCGATGAAGCAGGATGTAAGTTTACAAAAAAAAATTTTCAATGTTAGATCCCTGTCCTAATACTTCCATGTTTTATAGGTTATTACGAAAACAGTACCGAGCTAGCACTATTTAGAAAATTCCGATTCAACAGAGTGCAACGCCAATACGAAAATGTATGGGTTTGGAAGGACGTCAATATTGGACCGCACGGCAGATATATTTTCAATGTAGATGTTCCAGCAAGGTAAGAATTTGAATTTTTTGAATTTTGAAAATACATTTTTTGGGGCTTTCAGGCCAGCTCATTGGATGGTATCTGCCTTCTCTATGAGTCCGACACTAGGATTTGGAATGCTGAATAAAGCCATAGATTATGTAGGAGTTTTGCCATTTTTCATCAATGTGGAAATGCCTACAATTTGTATGCAAGGTAAGAACTATTATAACATTCAACTAATAATTAATCATCAGGATATAATAATTGGCACAATCTATATGATTGCAAATCCCAACTTTTGGTTCTTTGTGACACTCATTTTACCCAAAAACAGTAATGACATACTAATACAATATTTGCACAACTACACTACATTTGATTATTACAATTAGCTAATAACTCTTATAGCACAAGTATCTTACTGAATATTTATACTACTAAACTCTATAAACTATTTCATTAATTATCTTGATTATAATAATTTGACATCATACATATTTTATTGAAAACGGTAATTCAAAGTTTCAATGAAGTAACTATGAGACTGTAACTTAGGATCAGTAATGGCCATTTGCACCGCTATCACTTAAGGGGTATTAAGGGATATTTAATTTAAGTGGAGCTTTTGAATGTGACTTTTGTTTCTACGAGAGTCACATTCAAAGCTCCACTTGGATTAAATTTAATATCCCTTAAGTTATAGCGGTGCAAATGGCCGTAACTCCCTTTTTTTGTTACTTTTGTCAGTCAAAGTCAAATACCTAGATTATTTTTTATTTTCTCAGCTCTATTTAGGATACTAAGGATTAGAAAATCGTCCTGCAACATCTACATATAGGTAATTTTTCGAATAGAACTCCTGTAAAGTATTGCTTTATGGGCACAAGAATTTGAGTCGCGTGGGACCCTATGTCTCCATAATCGTCTTATAGGTCAAATTGTTATTTCACCCTCCTTGTCATTTTCTTTGAGATGTAGGTTTGGTCTCATTGGTTGATCTGCTTTAATCCATTCTGTAGTTCATTTATCATCATTGGGTACCCATTTTTTCCACAATTTAATGAATGTTTTCTGCATGGAGATTGATTCTCTGACAAGTTTCCAGGCTGCTTGAATCCCAAGCAATTATTCTTTACTTATGACATAATAAATTCGTTCTGGTTTTGACAAGGTTAAAGTGCTAAATTGGTTTCATGCAACAGGTTTGTATAACACGAGGCAAACTTATAATATAATACTGCCAATACCATCCTCGACACAAATTAAAAATTCTATTATATACAATAGTCGGAAATTATTTAATCACTTACCTGTGGAAATAAGACAAGTGGAAAGCAACAAAATATTTAAAGGGATGGTGAAAAGGTTACTAATTGAGAGGGCTTATTATAACTGTACTGAGTTTTGGAATGATAGATTTTGACTGTATCAATTGATTGGCTCTGCCAATATCATTATTATTATTATTATTTTTATTTTTATTTTCATGATTTGACTTTTGTAATTTGTGCTTATTTTTTTATTCCTGTAGCGCACATATAATGTATATACAGGGTGTCCCAAAAAGATACCGACAAACTTCAAGGGGTAGTTGGGGACATCAAAACAAGCATTTTTGTTTATATGAACATATGTCCGCAAATGAGCCATTTGGGCTGTAGAGCAAAAAAACTGTTTGATACTTTTATTCTTCGTAATAATTAAATCACTGTTTACTTATTAATTTTGCTTTATTATCAAATAAATTATGGTTTACAATAATTGTTCAAAATGTTGACCATTTACTTCAATGCAAAGATTACACCGTCGGGTCATTGACTGAAAAGTTTAGTCTACGAAACACCTGTTCGTAATGAGGAAGATCTGTTAGCAAGGATACTGGCGAGTTTTACCAATGTAGAAGCTATTCCCGGAATATTCCAAAGAGTTCGCGAGTTGATTAATTATTGTAAATCATAATTTATTTGATATTAAAGCAAAATTAATAAGTAAATAGTGATTTAATTATTGCGAAGAATAAAACTAGATACCAAACAGTTTTTTTGCTCTACAGCCCAAATGGCTTATTTGCGGACATATGTTTATATAAACAAAAATGCTTGTTTTGATGTCCCCTACTACCCCTTAAAGTTTGTCGGTATCTTTTTGGGACACCCTGTATATATTTCTTACCGTCATTTTAATTTAATTTGTGTGACATAATTATGTGAGTGATAGGTAGTTGACGTCCGTGACTACTTCTAAGTTTTATTTTTATTTTTTGTTTGTTTTTGCCTCAGTTTTTACAATTCTTTGTGTTGGTTTCGATTGTTGTGGATCATTTTTTGAAATTTTTATCCTTTTTATGATAGATAGATAATAGATAATTTTAATTGTTTTATTAGGTTTAAGGCCTGCTTTGTCTATGACATTATTTGTTTTTTTGGCAATAAAGCTTATTTGATTTGATTTGATAACACATTGGTTCTTATGACAAAAACAGAAATAATTTTTTTTCTCGAAAACTATTAGAGATAAACCTATCGAACTTTAGATCATTAAAATCAGCAAAAACAGAGCTATCCAATGTGCTATTGATATATAGGGTGCTTCATTTGAAAATATCGGAATTTGGGCAATATCTCGGAATCGGAGCGATAGAGAAAAAAACCGAGTCCGCCACTGGATTGTGCTCAAAAAAGTGTCTCCATAATATTTTTACAGAAATAAAAAAAAATGATAAATAAAAAACTTATAGCCATTTTTCATAATAGGGGAAAATCGAAAATCGCCCTGTATTAATGGTACCATTGAAGATATCGCGATACGGTTTTTGACAATCGACGTTTCTCGAAAATCGATCCCATGACATCTTTGTCAATTTTCCTCCATCTGGTCGGGAAGTATGTTTTTCCTGTTAAAACACTACAAATTGCAGCACCCTGTACAGGGTGGTCAGAAAATAGAAAAATATATAGGGTATTTCCTAAATTCCTATCGTAACTTCAGGATGTGATTCCTTACAATATTTTAAGAAAAAAAGTTTCCATAAACATGTGTCTGGAAATGCGTGATTTCTGAGATATAGGGTGTCAAAGATTGAAAAAAAATTGTTTTTTCCTTATAGCTCAAAAACCCCTTTCTTGATTTTCGATAAACTTGGCAAATTTGGTTGTAATAGCAAAAGGTATCTTTTTACTCAATTAGATTTATCGTAATTGTTTCAGTGGCACCCCAGAGGCCGCAACTATGTTGGGAAAAGTGAAGTCTATATATCAAAGCTATTTTTATAGCTTTGATATTTTTTTTCAGATTAGGCAAGTCATATTACAGTCAAAAGATACTTTTTGTTATCACAATTTTGGAAAAAAAAAATGGAAATGGGATTTTTGAGCTAAAAAACCAATTTTTCTGCGATTGACAAGAAATGTCAGCATTTTTGACCGGTTGACAGGTCGCAAAACTCAATATTCTGGTATTTCAATTATGTTTCAATAGTTGCTTAGGAATCAATGAATAACAATACGGAAAGCACTTTTCCGGCCTAGGCCGGGAAAGTGATTCTCGTATTGCTGAATAATTGGAACTAAAAGACAAAAATTTAACAGGTATTTAACCGATCGCAGAAAAAATAGTGTGTATTTCGGTGGAAAAGCACATTCTCGGTCTTCGGTGTTTGCCGGCCTCGGCTACGCCTCGCCCGTCAACTTACACCGTCAGCCGAGAATGTGTCACTTTTCCACCTAAATACACAATATACTATTTTTTAAAACTTTGCAGGGTGTCAAAGAAATTAGGCATTTTCGGACACATGTTTATGGGAACTTTTTGTCTTAAAATATTGTAAGGAATCACATCCTGAAGTAACGAACCATATATAGGAAACACCCTGTATATTTTTATATTTTCTGACCACCCTGTACAGGGTGGGCCAAATTGGACACTTTCTAATGGAAACGCCCTTTATTTTTAGAGATAGAAAAAAATGGACCCCCCACTCTGAGGCTCAAATTTCATGAAATCTTGATTAGTGCAAACCGCATTTTGATATCTTCAACCGTTTAGCCGCTAGAGGGCGATTCTCGATTTTGAGCAATACTGTAAAACCTCCATAACTTTTTTGTTTATGAAAATAATTCATTTCCGTAAAGACCTTTTGGGAGCACTTTTTCAATCAGAATTCAGTGATTATCTAATAGTTCATTAGAAAGCTCTGCTTTCGCTGATTTCAATGATATAAGGTTCGATAGGTTTATCTTTAACAGTTTTCGAGGAAAAAAATTATTTCGGTTTTTGTCATAAGAAACAATGTGTTGGAAAAGGACTTTATCTGTGTAAGGAAACTGAGAAAGGTCTCTTTCTTACACATTGTTTCTTATGACAAAAACCGAAATAATTTTTTTTCTCAAAAACTGTTAGAGATAAACCTATCGAACTTTATATCATTAAAATCAGCGAAAGCATAGCTTTTTAATGAACTATTATTATATAGGGTGTCCTATTGAAAAAAATCGGATTTTGGTCAATATCTCGAAATCGACGCCAGACAGAAAAAAACTGACGTCACTGAATTCTGCTTGAAAAAGTGCGTCCAAAAGGTCTTTACGGGAATGAATTATTTTTATAAACAAAAAAGTTATGGAGGTTTTACAGTATTGCTCAAAATCGAGAATCGCCCTCTAGCGCCTAAACGGTTGAAGATATCAACATGCGGTTTGCACCAATCAAAATTTCATGAAATTTGAGCCTCAGAGTGGGAGGTCCATTTTTTTCTATCTCTAAAAATAAAGGGTGTTTTCATAAGAAAGTGTCCAATTTGGACCACCCTGTACATGCTATTTCAAGTTTTAATAGTTCAGTATTATTTTTTTCAAGAAGCAGAAACTTTTTAAAAAAATAACTTTTTTTCATAAAATTGATAATAAAAAAGTTTCCCATGCACAGGGTATTTGATTATATTTGGACTTATACCTATACCCTTTACTATTTAAGATAGTATATTTTAAATATGAAACTTGACAGTTTTTTTCTATATTTTCTTTTAACGGTATCAGAAAAAACAAAATCGCATCGGAAAATGGAGAAACATAGGCAACTTTGACTTATTTCAATGGAACACCCTGTATATTATGCAGTAAAATGAAAGATCTTTTCTCCTGATTCCAAATATATACAGGATGTCCCACGAGGTTTTTCCCAAATGATAATTTCGGAACGCATCCTCGTATGTTCCACTGTATAATTTTCTGTCATATCCTTTAACATGGCCTTAACAAATATTGTATAGCCAATTTTGTAATTTAATTTTCTACCGAAAAATCCAATAATATACCATGAGTTTTATTTGAAAATCGAAAGTTGACGTCACTTGACCGAAATTGGATGACAATGGTAGACGTGGCACAAAAAGTTACCCAGATCCTCAAAATTTCGATTATATTAGATG